AAAATTAAACCATGTGGCACAGATTTTATGTTTGAGTTGTCTCATAAATGTCTAAATTGTTGTTGAAATGATGACATTGTAAGCAGCCAAGATAAATATTAACAGCAAAGGGCTTCCCACTTCCTCATATTGTTAATTATTTACTTTACCTTGTTTATATTATTTATATTGTCTGGAGTGGTCTTCATCAGTACCATCTGAATGTATTACGTAATGAGATTACAGGTTGGTTAGCTTTAACAACAGTAAAGAAGGAGGGCAGACCCTTAGAAAGTCCAATAATTGAAGCTTCTGGTGAACTACATGGCCATCCATTTGGATTGTGGTTACTGAATATGAAACCCATTATTTTCTTTCTTTCTTTCTTTCTTTCTTTCTTTCTTTCTTTCTTTCTTTCTTTCTTTCTTCTTTCTTTCTTTTTCTTTTTCTTTCTTTTTCTCTTAGAAGCAATACTTTCAAGCAGATTTTGGGTCCATCAAATAAAAGCCAGACCCATATGATGTCTTCAATTTGAAATAAGTTTAAAATATATATATATATATATATATATATATATATATATATATATATATGGAGACATTGACATTCTTCAATGAAAAAGTGAAAGAAGATGCTTATCAGGACCTTCTGATTGGTGAAACAATCTTGGTTCAGTATGACAATATTCACAATTTTGCCTACGGAGAATTCTCATTGCTAAGTGATAGTGGCATATTTTGGGTTGTCACTTCTTAGTATCACAGGTTTTCATAATTTAACTAAGAGACAGTCTTCCTTCTCAAGAAAGGTAGGAAAGAAAGAGATCTCCTTAGACCCAGTTTATAACTTAATCTGGCTGACCCATCCATTCTTACAGGCAGCCAGAACAAGCCAATTTTGACTATTATCCTCTGTGCCTGAAAGAGTGGAGAAGACCAGTAGAAGTCAGGAACAGTTACCCTTGAATGACATCAGAGACTAAAACAGATCTTGAACTCCCGAAGAAGATAGGTATTCTGAGGTTGACCATGCTATTAACTTAAAATCTACTCCACATAAAAGCAATTCTGAAATGTCAACAAAAGTTAAACTTCCTTATGATTAGAGAAGTACTTACTGTTCTCAATTTTGGCCCAATATTGGTTTTGGGTTTTAAAAATCCTAAATCATCAGGGTGACTAGTCCTCCTTCTTCTGACATTCCTCTAAGAAATTTCTGATGAGCTTAAATCTTCTATTTACCATAATACCTCTATTCACCTCAGTGTGTAATTACAGAGAACTTTTCAGTTTCAGCATGTATCAAATATGTATATATCAAATACTCTTCTATATACTCTCAATATAAAGATAAATAAAACACACTAGCCTATAGGAAAACATCTGCCAGATGAGCATTCACTGCATTGAATACAGTGAATGAATGACCTCATAAGGCAGGGTAAGTTCTCACAAGCTAAATGTCAGTGATGTTCATTATCAAGTGAGAACACAATTAGAAACACTTGCTACTAATAGTGTGAATACATTCTTCTGTTACACGATGTCCTTATAACACATTTTAATTTCTCAGGAAAAAAGAAACCTCTTTCAATGTTTTAAATGAGGTCTGATGTGTCTAGGTAAGTTTTAGCAAATACATTGGCTTAATTTTCTGCAGCATTTATACTACTTCCAGTAAACAATCATTATCAATATTAGCATAATACACTAAGTGCTGAATAGAAGTTAAAAACCTATAAAAGGGGCTCTTTTTGAAAAATGGAAATCATGGTTCAGAAAACTTCTGTTCTATGCCCTGTCAGTTTAGGCTAAAACTTGAAATTTGCATCTTCATAAACTGATGTAAGACCCACATTTTGGTGCTATTCTTTGATTGACTTGGGACTGTAGGTGAAGGAGTATATCCTTCACTCAAGCTGTGGAGTTATTTCTGAAATGATATTAAGTGCCCTCAGGGACAGGATGTAGTCGAAAGGATGCTTAAGTATTTAATTAGTATTCAAAATGCCCTGTCCACTTTATTTGGCAACTCTATAGATTAGTTTAAGGGTGTTGGTACCCAAAATGACTTTGTGATATCCAAATAAAATGAATATATGTATATTTAGTCCATGAAGCATTACTAAGCCTCTAAAATACGTAATAAGTGGGTGTGGGAAAGCAAAAATTAAACATAAATAGTTTAAACCAATAAAAATTTTCTCTGGAAAGAATAAACAATAAGTGACTATTTGGGGGGTAGAAGAGGAGTGAGAATAAAGGGCAGATGAAAGCTTCCTTGCTTAATTGTTTATAAATTGTTGTTAAGAGACAAAATTCTCTCTATGCCCAAATTATGTAATTTATTAGAAGTGTGCAGACTCCTCTGCTCAGTAACGCTGATAACGACACTAATAGTTTAATTACAACTTGCTGCTCAAGGAGATAAACAAGGCTGTTTGCTTTTTAAACCAGGGGTTACAATTACTTTTAAACGCGGGGGAAAGGCACATCTGCGAGTAGATCTTACTACGTCAGGAAAGCAACCAGAAACCAGCTGGAAAATAAACAAAGCGCCAGGAGTGAGCAGCCTGCGCAAAATTAGAGCAGAACTGCCTGACTTGAGCAGTGGAGCAGTGGGCGTGAGGGTAGTAAACAGGCTGTAAATGTAGGTGGGCAGGGATAGGAAAGTTTTTGGTGCCTAGATCTTCTGCATTTTCCCTGGGACTCCATCACTGGGAGGAACAGGACAGGGTGCCTAGATCTTCTGCATTTTCCCTGGGACTCCATCACTGGGAGGGACCCCTCCCTCGAGTGTCTTGCTTACAGTTACGTCTATGTCACACAGCTCTTTGCTTCAGCACCACAAGCGAGGACAGCTCCCCTAACTGCAGAACAGAGCCCATTGCGACTGCACACCCGCCCCCCCCCCTTCTTTCCAACATCCTCTGGATGGCATTTCTCTTTCTTGCTGGTGTCTTTTCTTGCTATCAGAGGGATTCTAAGGGACATACAGAAGGCACGTGGAGCCCATTGGGCTTGTATTTCCAGATTAAAGGGAAACAAGTCTTGACTGAAAAGTCCAATCTTTTAATTGGCCTCCAGAGTAATTCAACCAGAATAAAAGATTGCAAGTCACTGAGTTTAATCTGGTGGCAAATGCTCAACCTCACTCAGTAGTGGCTGAAACTTGAAGCTCCCTTTAGTGTTTTATTTTATTGTTTTGTTGTAAAAGTAAAACAAGGTTAAACAACATTTACTAACTGCCACTCTAGCCCTTTTTCTCCTGTGTTAAGCCAAAGACACCAAGGAATATACCAGAGTTTGGTAGCAAAGAGGTCAGTGGTACAATTTCTAATATCACTCCGTGAGAAAACAATCTCAGTCATAAAAACAAAAAACAAAACAAAGCAAAAAAAAAAAAAACTCTTCTCAGTACTTTTGAAGACTCCTCACATCCACATCCTGAATCTGGAACATACCAGTGAAGGATTAACAGTTCCAAAATGAGACCACAGGCTACTACAGCATGCCACAAAAATGGCAAAAGCTTCCCCCAATAAAGAAGTCATTTCCCCAGCTCTAAATCCAAAGGAAAACGTTTTAGGAGTGATGAGGAAGATATGATTAAAACCCCAAATCACCAACACAGGAAAATAACACTCCAAGGAACTTGGCTACTTTGGTACTTTCAGTTGCCATTCTTTCAGTCACGAAGAGAAGGTTACTTAGCCACTACATCTTCTTTCTCTCATCAGAGTTTTCTCCTTTGTCCAAACTTCTCAACAGGGTATACAATACTTATCATTTAAAGGTTCTCTTTGCCCCCAACACGGGCACACACATACTTTGATTCAGTTCCATTTCCAAGGATTTAGTTTGCTAAAGAAAGAGCTATTATCTGGTTTTCAAACCTATTTTGAGGGGAAGTCTTCCCCCTTTTTGCACTGGAATTGCTAGAATGCTGAGGGACTCTAGAAAAGAAGAGGCACAAACTGGGGCGGATGCTTAGGAGGCATTCAGAAAAGGCAGCACTATGAAGGTAGTGGGGAATAACTTCCTTCCAGTGATGGTGATCATCTGCTAGTAACAGAGGGTGAGGTCCGCCTGTGAATCTAGAGCAGTAGCAGCAGTGAGGACAGCAGACACAGGGTACCTCTTATCAGGTACCCCTGAGAGATCTCAACCCAAGCAATTTGACTCTCGCAGTCTCTCACTCCTTTCTCTTTCCTCTTCCTTTCTTCCCTCCCTCCCTCCTTCACCTCAGTTGTCCTTTCAACTTGATGCCTTCTGGGCCACTTTGGGCACCAGGACTAGTGACAGTCAAATCACCTAACATGTATCCTATAGACCATGTTATCATTATCATCATCATCATCATCATCATCATCATCATCATCCCTGGGGTTGCTCTCCAACAGCTCAGTGAAAGGATAAGGTCCTGTCCCCGGCTGTCAACCCCACACCCTCTCCCCAGCCAACACCGCAGCAGTGGTGTCAACCCCCCAGAAATCACGGGTCTGAATGTCACCAACAAGTTCCACCCTCTAGCAACCCCTCCAGCAAGCCTCACCAGCAGAGCCTTGCCAGACCCTCCGCCCACAGCCGGTGCCCCGGCAGCCCGACCCGGCTCTTGGTGATCCCTAAGATCATTGTTACCACTGACAACACTTTCCTCTCCGCATGGAAGGGGAAAGCCCGCGTGGGAGTCCTGGGAGGATGTAGGGCTCCACGCACTCCCCTCCCCCACCTCCGCAACACGCGCGCGCACACCCCCCGCACACCCCCCGCACACCCCCCGCGCACACACACTCACACACTCACACATCACACGCACACACCCCTCCGAATACCGGCGACACAAAGAGCGAGTGAGCCAGCCCAGCGCCCGGCTGGGTAGGAAGGGGGGCGGGCGGGAGGGAGGGCCCTGCCTGGAGGGGGACACCCCAGGGCCGGTAGGGGCTGAGCCAGCCGGCGGGGAGGGACGGGAGGCCGGGACGCGGGGTGGGGGCGCGAGCCCGGCGACAGGGTCGCCCTTACCTGCCCCTAGGTTGAAGGAGATCCTGGCTTCGGCGAGGTACGGCGTGTCGCTCTTGGAGCGGACTCTTCTGATGGGCCGCCGGTCTATATCATCCTCCGAAGATGCCGCCATTAATGTGGGAGGCAGGAGCAGGGTCGCCCGGCGAGCTGAGAGGGAGAAGGAGGTGCAGAGAGAGAGGGAGAGAGGCGGAGAAGGGGAGGAGGGGAAAGGAAGAGGCTCACCCACGGGGAGGGGGAGGGGGAGGGGGGAGGGGAGAGGAAGGGAAGGGGACGGGGAGGGAGGGGGAAGAGAGGGGGCAAAGGAGAAAAAAAGAGGGAGAGAGAGAGAGAGAAAGGGAGCAAAGGAGAGAAAAGGGTGAAGGGAGAGAAAGAAAATCCGTTAAGGATTTGTGGACTGGAGCAGAGATGAGGCTCTCCCTGGCTTGCGCCAGGGCTCCCCTAACTCCTCTTGCAGCCACAGGGCCAATGGGTCAGTGTTCCCGACTGACTCCCCGCCTCCTGCCCGCAGCCCCAGTTTTCAGCTGTTGGCACAGATAGGCTGATGCGCAAGGGAAGACTCCAAAGCAAAGGTGCCCAGTCAGCACTGTGCCCTCTCCCGCCAAACGCACTTACTCGGCTCTTCAAGTGCACACTTGGGTCTCCTTAACCCACAGGGTTCCCTCAGACTGAGGATGCCTGGCCAGATGGACCAACTTCAGCTGGCTTTGTGAGGGATTATTACTGCTGGAGTGCAAGCCCCCCTGGTGGTCACAGGGTTCCCTCTTCCCCAACCCCGAGCTCAAATAAAGATGCCACCTGGATCTGCAAACTTCAGAAGCTCTCTTACCAGTCCCCTTGACCCTAGAGGTGGAGGGTGGAGGAAAGATATATGCAAGTTTGGAAGCAGTTGGGCCATAGAGTTTTCAGAGTTGATCCTTTGAATGTAGACTCCGAGTACTCACAGAGAACTTCTAGGATGTGTTTATGCCTACATAAATACCCATTCATTTTAACCTTTAAGTTTTGTTTTTTTTTTTTTTTATTTCGTGGCTTTAGGGAACACACAATGGTCTTTGCACTGGACCTGTAATCTCTATAACCCTGTACCACTGAGGTGAAGATCAAGAGCACTTCACATTTCTTTGAATGTTTGCACTGCAATTTTCCCACATTACACAGCACAGAAGGAAGTAGAAAGGTTTCTGGAGTGTGAATCAGAATGGTTTGATGCTCCTACTGAATCTATTGATGGGCTAACCTCTTTTATGTTTGTCTTTCTACGGCCTCAGTCACTTGGTCTTTTTGTGGCTTGATGTTGCCACTCTTCTTTCTAATAAGAGCTCACCTGGAGTACACAGATAAATGTTGCCTTGATTCCCTCCCTGCTACAAAGGAAATCTCAGTGTCAAGTCATACCCTTCCATCTCAGAGGAAGAAGTGCTGCCCCAGCTCTGCAAGACTTCCCTCTGCACTTCTGCTGTCAGTTCGGAACTCTTGCACCCTAGAGTCTTCAGTCTCTCCACACAGGTCTTTTACTCTACACATAGCTAGTAACGCTTCATCTTGGGAAAAATATACCTGCCCTTGGCCTCGCTGCTTCCTCAATGTCTACCATACTATTTCCTTCCCATTCTGCTTATGCTTCCCTTGGAACTCTTGCTACACAGGGTCCATGTCTTCACCCTCAATCTCACCTTTCATCCCCACCACTGGTTTCCATCCCTACCACCCAAACTTATGTTAAAGGTCATCATATTCTTTTAACAGTTAAATCCATTTCTTTCTTGTCTGCTCTGAAGTACACAATAAACTGTTCTTGAAGTAGCCTCCTCCTTTGGCTTTCTGTACTAGATTCCTCCCAAATCATTCAATTTCTAACTGTTCGTCAATTATCTGCACAGTTAATTTGAAATTGCCTATCCTGGCATGCAAAGCCCTTCACAACCTGACTTTAACATGTTTTTCCAAACTCATCCCCCATTATTTGCTTCCAGTCTGCTCAGATTTGTCCCAGTCTGGCTCACTTCTGCATCTGCACCTTTGCTTATGTCACACACCACAAATTTCTTCCCTATAAACTTTCCATGTTCTCTCTCAGGAATGTCAGATAACTAGCCCACTAGTCTATGGCATGAACCTAGTACATAGTAAGTACTCAATAGATATTTTTTAATAAAAGAAGGGAGAAGAGGAAGGGAGGGAGGGAGGAAGGAAGGAGAGAAAAAGTAATGAGTAGTAAAGAGTGAATTATGGACCAAACCCATGTCTGCCTGATTTTAAATCCTGTGTCCTTAACCAGTATATTGATTTGCTAAGTATATATTTGGTTGACTAGCCACACTTAAAATTCACTTTTCTATGACACTTGCCTCATGATTGTGTCCAGTTTATCTCTGTTAAATATAGATTAAAAATGGATGTCTCCTCTCCCAGGAGACACAACAGGAGTATTTGGTTCATCAAATGAACCATGAAGGTTAATGTTTTTAAATGGCTATTCAGGCAGCAAACCAATATTATGATTGTAACACTTAGGTTCAGGCTCTTAAGGAAATGCAAAAGTAAGGAAAGAAAGTCCAACAATTCTGAATACTGTAAAAACTCTACTCTCTTTGAATTAAGCCAGTGACACTTGACTGTTCAAAAGTCTTTGAGATTCTCCATCTCTTGTATTTTCATTCATTATCCATGTCTTAAAAAGAAAAGAAAAAAAAACAATACAGACATTTGAAAAAACAGCTAGCCTTAGCTTTCTTTGTGTTTCTTTGATTTTAGATTTAATGGTTCTTGATAGAAAGAAGTACCTCTTTGGATTTCTATATCTTCTTCCTTCAGCATTTTAGAAGATCAAGATCTTAACATTGCTACCACTTTAGGTGTACTTCTCTTTACAGGAGTCTAAATGTACTTTCATAAAATTTCATTAAATTTTTAATGAAATTAAAAATACTATTTTAATAATAAAATTAAAGATTTTATATTTTTATAAATAAAAATATAAAATTATAAAAAATATAAAATCAAAAATTTTATTATTAAAATAATTCTAGATAGATATACTTTTGATGAAAATGACATAAAAATACTACATTGATCTACATGTTCTTGAATTATTTTATTTTGTTTTTATTTCTATTATCTTCCATTTTTTTACTTCCCTAATTTAACTGCTTTCTTTGTCTCATTTAATTTTTTCCCATTCTCTTTTCACTTTGCCTCCTTTCTCACATCTTTCTACAACTTGCTGACAAAATTGATTCCATTTCCTGTAGCTCTCTCTTATCCTATATGAAGGACTCACTTTTGTTTCCACATTCCTTGTTCTCTGGGATTCCTTTCATATACGTGATCTCTTATCATAAACTATGTGAATGACATCAGGCAAGAAACTCTGAAGTGGAATCTGGGACGCTGGGTGCATCACACTACCTCACCAAGTAACACTGTGCAAGTCACTCACTCTACCAGGTTGGATCTCTGTCACTTCAGCTACAAAAATGCCAGGGTCAGCTAATGCGATCTTAACTATAATACTCTGTATTTGCAGCTATTTTTCTCTCTCTTCTTCCTTCCATAAATATCCATGGCATATTTTGTCTCTTAATCTAAGAAAATGCATTGAGTCTTTGATTTGTAACTAGCCATATTTAGGAAACCACATGGTCTCTATATTTCTCTCTAGTGATTTCCTATTATTCAAGTTTATTTTCTACAACTTTGTATCCTTTAGAATGTTTTTTTTCCTCATACTGTTTCCATCATGTAGCAAGACCCATATGATTGTTTGTGTACATGCATGTGTGGGTGTGGATATGTATATAGAAAGAACTGAATTCAACTGTGATCTCAACAACTTTTGAATATACTTTTTTAAAAAGATTGTTTCTTTTTGAATAGGACTGCTGACTCAGGCATGTTGATGCTATTAAAAAGATTTTTTTTTCTAAAGCCAGTCAACATTTTAATACTGAAGACCCTGCATGTTGTATCCAGAACTAGAGACAGAGAAAGAAAGGCAGCACAAGAGGGTGATCAGAAAAATAACATTGCTAACATGGAAGAAGTGAAGGTGGGAAGAGAAAGGAGAAAGAGGAGAGCAATATTCCATCCTAATCAAGAAAACTCTTCAGGTGAGTGAAGCTTTAAAAGTATTACTCAAAATGTGTTTCTAGGGTACCCCTACATTGATATTGTTTAGAATACTTGTTAAAATGTAGATTTTTGAGGCCCTCAACCTGAACCTCCTGAATTTTGAGGGGATGAGACCTGAGTACCTAGATTTTCAAACTTTGTCCATTCTCAGCACTTGTATTCAACATTATACTGGAAGTCTTGGTCAATGCAGTGACTTTTAAGTTAAAGAAAAGAAAGATAATTAGAAAGATATAATGATTGTAAAACAAGAATAAAATTGTGATGAGTCATGTATGTTATGAGAGTATACATAAAATCCATAAAAATCCAAACTATTAGATATAATAAGTGAATTTGACATCACTGATATGATAGCAGTAAAAAACATCAATTTTGTTTCAATATACTGAAAAAAATAGAAAGTATAATTTATAAAAAAACCATTTACAATAGTATCAAAACCACCAAATACCTATGAATAAACCCCACAAAAGATGAGCAGGACCACTATATGAAAAACTACAGAACACTCCTGAAAGAAATTAAGAAGATCTAAATAAATGAGGAGTGGGATGAGTAACCCATTCTCACCTTCATGGATTAAAAGACACACTATGTAAAGGCATCAGTATCTTCAAATTGATCTATAGATTAAATGAAATTCCAAACTTTTTTTAATTGGCTAATTGATTCTAAAATTAGCGTGAAAATGCAAAGGGATAAGAGTAGCCTTATCATGACAAATAATAAGAAAATAACTGGAGATTTAAATGTAAATTCAAATAGAATTTGAAAACAAAGTAAGATAATTAGACAAATGGAAGAGAACAGAGAATTTAAAAATAAACCCATATATAAACAGTGACCTAATTATGACAAGAGGTCCACTGCAGTATTGTGAGGGAAAGACGGACTTTTCAATAAATAGTGCTTGATCACTTGGACATTCATATGGTGGAAAACAAACTTTGGTCCCTATTTCACACCACCCACAAATTCAATTCCAAGTGGATCATGGACCTAATAGTGAATGG